ACATTTGCATTTTCCATCTTTTGCTGAAGAAGGCAACAGTAGTGGCCGAAACGTCCGATAACCATATTTTTAGCCAGTGACAACCATTTAATTCCTTTCTTTTTTACCAATTTTAAACAAGAACAAGTTAATTCATATAATATAGCTGGTTTGTACTAGCTGATATTTTGCTTGCGAACGACGATGAGCCGAACTTAATTCTGACAAAGTTTGCTCGTCCTCTTTACTCGTCCTCATTAAGCTTTTTGGCACTTCCATAGGTAAATATTGTTAGAAGAAAATAGTCAATATTTTTGCATTTTATAGTTTGCAACTTTTTCACCGCAAAATGTAACCGGTCTAGATGCCGATCTAGATGGGAAAATCTAGGCCACTTTCAATATCTATTTCAGCCAATCAATTTCGTGAATTCGGTAGTTCCCAGTCCTTGTGAGACACAGAATTGTGATAATAAACCATAAGGGAACAAGGATAGTTAAGGATGGAAAATATTAATATGGATTACAAACGACGAACTTGAAAAAATTAGGTTAAACTTTTTAGAGTGTGCAAACCGTGACGCTGCTCCTTTCAGGAATGACGAACTTGTTCGGATGGCCCACGGACGTACTTAATACGGTGAATGTTGAGCAAACTAATAGGTAGTGCTCGAGAAAAGGCGCCTCGTTGGTGTTTTCATTTGCCCTTCCGACAAATTCCTTCTTTTTCTTTTGCAGTCCGTGTTACATTTTGACAACGTATTGTGGCTCCTTTTGTGCCGCTTCGTTTTTGTTTCCCTAGTACTATCCCTTGTTGGCGTCCTCATGTAAGAGCTTCAACCTCAGAGATCTGGGCATACTTGGAAATAAGGGTTCGCCAATTTTCCTAAAAATTCCTAATGCAGACTTTTGTAAAATGCCAAAGTTTCAGCTTCATTGACCGTTTTCCACCCGAGAATTACAGCGCAGGATTCGGTTCGTCTTTCCCGCTCATAGAAGCGGCCATGTAATAAATTTTCTTATATAGCGTTTTCGTCGTGGCCATGTTGGCATTTTCAAATAGTAACAAATGTTTCATAAAAAAAGAAAGAAGGATGGTAAGGTTCTTTCTACAATCAGCGCACCAACCGAATGAGCTGGCGCTTGCTATTAACAATTGCTTTTCCAGTAATTATTTTCGGCTGATGAGAGACTGGAAACTGGAAAGCTTGGCGAATGATGAGGAAATTTCCGCTCTGGAAGTACAAGGTGCTCACTATTTAACCAAAAAATCTAGAAATTTCGGTTGAAAGTCAATTCGAACAGTACTTTTTCCGAAAATCCGTTCGGATATTAGTAGTAATCTTAATGAGGATACCAGCATCACAGTAGAGTGGTTTACAGAAGAGTCCTCAAAAAATTACCTAGATAAAAATAGAAAAAAAAACTGAGAAATATAAAATATAAAAAGAACATGAATTAAAAAATATAAGAATATATGTACAAAAGTTAGAAGAAAACTAATTAAAAACGTTACGTTTATAAAACGGCTTTAGAAAAGCCACGTGCAAATGAAGGCAGCGGCTCTGCATCCCTTGATGAAATGTCTAATCTATTCCATATTTCTGAACAGAAGTTGATTGAAGACCAGTAACCCCAGGTTCTATTGGCAGTGTATTCGCAGATGCTATTTCTAGACCTGGTATTATAACTATGAAAATCATTAAATCATAACCATTCAATGAGATAAGTACCGCATGGCAGAAATCGTTATTGAGTAATTTATAAATGAAAACAGCACGATGCTCCAGTCTGCAGCGCATTAAAGGTAACAATATTACTCGTAGCGCGTAGCCTTATTTTGTAACACTTGTTGCTCGGACATCAAGGAGGCGTTTCCCCTGTCACCCCAAATTATGTCGCCATAGTCAAAAAGAGGTAAAACAAGGCTATTTAAAAAAAAGTAACTCTTGCATCAAGGGGGAGGCATGACTTAATACGCCTCAAAAGGCCTAATTTTTTACTTATTTTGCTACGCACAGACTCAATGTGATCGGCCCAGGAGAACCGGTTGTTAATCACTATACACAAGCACGTGTAAGAGTCTACGTTGTCAAGAAGGGTGTAATCAGCAGAAATACAAATTGACTCAACTTTGTTTAGCTGAAAACTGCTACCTATTAATAAGAATTTAGATTTCGAAACATCAAGAGTAAGTTGGTTACACCGTGACCATTTACATACACACGCCCGAGGTCTGCGTTAAATCTTACTTTCATAACAGATTTAGAGGCAAAATACAGAACAGTGTCATCCGCATATAGAGTAAATTGTAGACTGACTCCAGAGGTAGTCCTCTCTTTCTTTCCGGAATAAAACAGCCAAAATTTCCTTACCATTCGCTAAAGTTTCCGTTTCTCGTCAGACAAGAACAATTACGGGAAATGGAATGGAAAATGTAAGCGTCGTCTTGTTCGGTTGGTTTGCTGATTTTGGAAAAACCTTTACCATTATTTAACGGTCATCCCAACCGGCTTATTCCGACGTAGTCTATAATTTCCAAAATGATTTTCCGGAAAATTTTATAATCGTGTTACACATTCTCATTCGCATTTAAAGCGAAACTTGCCACAGCCGACTTGATTTATTCTTGAAAAACTTGACATAAAAGCTCTGTTATACAAACTGTAAGACCGCTACTCTGTCTGTAGAGGACCCCAGATACATTGTGTGGATCATGAGGGTGGCGTTGCGGATCTTTCTTCTTTGTACTCTACGTTCATACTCGGCAGGTAAGCAAGATGGCAAATGACCTCTTATTATAAGTGCAGTTTCCTGTGTTTGGAATTCTAAAATAGCACGTTCACTTATGCATTGGCAGATGAGAGTCATTCTTGATATTCAGCTGAACTGTTGGTTGAATGATGGAAATTACACGTTGCTCGTTGTCAGAAGCTGTCGACATCTGAGGACAGTAGAATTTTAAGTTCGTGAGGTAGCTTGAGTAAACGGAAGGAACAACAGACCCCTATATATGAAATGTGCCAAACATGACTAGAGAAAAATAGTTAAAAGCCCCTATATGAATAGACTACGAGTAGTCCCTCTTTCGCTTAGTCCGTCGTGCGTGACGCGAAAGAAAACCGCGAGAGAAAAATGGCCGTGCGAAATCCTGGGGGCGAGGTGCGCGCGAAAGGAGGGACTACCGCCTAAGCCCAAGAGTTTGAATTATGCGTTGCTCTCACAAAGCAAAAATATGATTGGCTTATGTTAGGAGCGTTGACAACGTGTTGTCAACATTCGAGATACGTGTGACGT